TACAATTAGCTACAGGCTTAGAGTAACGAACATCAAAATTAACAAAAAGTTTCACGATTTTGCAAACGCCATTATCAACGAGATATAAATAGCAATCTCTATAAATTTGGCCTTCTCAAGACATATCCTAACATTTGTATTCTTTACCTGCTTCGCAGTATTCTGCGAGCACAATAAGTAACTATGTAACTAGATGTAATAAAGATTCCAGCACAACAATTTTCAGGAGAAAACTCTGAATTGATAAGTGAAATAACCTAGAATGATTGCTATTATGGAATTTAGTGAATGAAATATTTAGTTATATATGAAATAAAGTAAGTATCTAGATCAGATGTTTCCATCGTCATTAGGGTAATTTCACAGACGAGAAAAGTATTTGTCCTTCAGTTAATATACTTAAGACTCGTTTTAATCGCTCAATTAGGTATATTGACCCATTTAGTCAATTACGCACTACTCTTTGCTCATTTAGACAATATCCGGTGAAAAATCACGTAAATGATTGTAATTAACGGGTAGTTTCTTATTTTGGTTTTATTTCAAAATGCAACAACTCAATAGGTGTATACAATAATTCAACAACTTACCAAAAAATCACCATGGCTTTCAAATCATATGGTGCGTTTAAACAATTTAGATATACCTCAGCCAATATTTTGGGTCTAACTAGTGTAACTCAACTGGTTTGCTTGCGCTCGCTTAACATTAAAAGTTCGTTACAATTATTTTCCTTAGCCACATACTTGTACAAATGTTTATTAACAGCTGTCTAAGCAAAGTACTTCGGATCCATTGGCCAGACACTGTCAGCGACAACCTACTATGGGAGAGAACAAATCAGACTCCAATAGAGGACGAAATCAGGAAGAAGCGATGGAAGTGGATAGGACACACGTTGAGGAAAGCACCCAACTGCGTCACAAGACAAGCCCTCACATGGATTCCTCATGGCCAAAGGAAAAGTGGAAGACGAAAGAACTCATTACGCCGAGAAATGGAGACAGGTATGAGAAAAATGAACAGGAATTGGATGGAACTAGAAAAGAAGGCCCAGAACAGAGTAGGATGGAGAATGCTGATTGGTGGCGTAAATGATAAGCAACCTACTTGTACTAATCTCATTGATGTTCCATCCGTTTGTTCGTAGATGTTCTTGTTGAATAGAAAACGTGTTGCTAAGCATAAGTCATTGTGTTCAAGTAAACTTTGACATCGAAGCTCCGTGTTATTTGCGAGATTTGTGTCGTTGGTGAAGAGCAAGGATAGAGTTTCCTTTGCTAAGCTTGGTTTAATTGAGATGATTAAGGCTGATACCTCAAAGAATATCGTCACTTCGTTGATGTACTTTAGAGTTCTTTTAGACTGATCCGGGAGTTGCGTAGGAGATGTAATGGAGTGATTGAAAGAATCTACAAAATGTTTTAATATTCGTGAAATTCCTCATCACAAATTGTGTTGTTAATCCAGGGAGTGCTAAAAACGGACGTGGCGAAATGTTTGGCTAAAGTATTTGGTTCCATTGATGATCTTGAAATCTTAATTCGTTTTTTCTTTAAAGTGAATTTTTTGAACTTTTTGTTGTCTGCAATATATCTCGATGGCTGTTGTCAAGATTACTAAGTGTCCTGATATGCATATTCTGTCCAACTTTCTCTTTTGGTTATCCACGGATAATTTGTACTTGTGTATCCTGTAGTGTGCATCAGTCATAATTAGGTAGTACCATTTATCTTCCAATTTGTTTACCTATTCTCCGTTACATAGGGAATTTGATAGGTGGTCTTTGGCCTACACTTGTTGGTGGAACATTCTAGTGAAGACACTCGTGGATAAAATACAACTGTTCTCGAGTGGAAGCCTGTCATTTATTGAAAGCTTCCTTTTATTGACAATGAGAATCGTGTTGCACTCATAGGAATTTGAGATAATATAGATTTTTAGTTCATGTGCGTGATTTAAGATGAAATTTTCTCCCTGATCAGGATGATTTAGTCGTGCAGATTTTATGGTATTTCTGCATAATATCTTCAGGACAAGTATTAGTGAGTTCTTCGAATTTCTCCACGTAAAAATCGCAGCTTGTCCTGTAGACCATAAAAATACAAAGTGCCCGCAGTGTCGAGTCACTTAGACTGGTGGCCACATTGCAACATGATCGAGAGCATTCGATCTGCACTAATAATGACTAGACAAGCATGACATTGATCACCACCCAGTGATCAATCAATTGTGAGACCTCGCTTAGTTATTGTTGACCTTTGACCTGCCATTGTCTGCTTCCCCACTCTTTAACATCCTAGTGTTTACGTTGTTAGTTATTAATTTATATATTGTCCCGCAAATCAGTACAGACTCTTCAGATTTGTTTGCAGCAATGAGATAATTAAAACTCAGCATGTGTTTTGTTTGGTGAAGCACTGATAATTTTCTGCCTGAATAAGTTTATAAGATGACTTCGGGCTCTCTCTCTTAAACATAGTCGAATGTTTCACATGATAACTCTGAAATCACTGTAAAAACACCGACATTATCTAATCAATTCTCGGAACTGCTATCGGGTTACGAGCGCGATAATAAGTATTCGAACTAATCTGCTTACCATGAATATCCGTAACAGTGTATTCTAAGCTAGTTAGAACTAAATGAGTACGGCCGAATGTAGTACAATTAGAATTCGTTTAGAGGTTCCTCGTTCAAAACCTCCTTACAAAAAGGTAAAGTTTACATCATCGGAATGCACAGTTCTCTCTCCGAGATTTTTGTGGAAAACCTTATAACACGAGTTTTCCGTTATCTTAAATAATAGAATTTACAGAACAGGAACTCTTTTTTAAAAAAATGCATACCAATGAACTATTAATGATAATTGGCTGCCGTAAAAGCGGTTATCAAAGCTTAACTTCGGAATCAATTGCGAATGATTTTAGTGGACTCAATTCATAAGTAATATAACAACCGCATATTGAGTACTGATTGACAAACTAAATGTGAACCAATAAATGCAAATGAATAGAAAAATATAGGCGGATGACAAGCAGATCATACGACAATGTAATCCATAATAATATATACATAATGCTTTGTATGTATTTATACAAATATTAAAAATAAGGGATAAGAGGAGTGGAAAGTTAACTTCAGTTAATAAATTTTATCACAACTGGAATCTGGCACATTTCCCAACGCATTAGTCTAATAAAATTTTTTAATGATAACGTACAATACTGACGAAAATTCTGACTGAATAGGTACCGTAGGCTACTTCAATAGCCCAAGTCTAATGTACATAACTTGAATAGAAGAAAGTGTGCGAAATGTTAGATGAACGCTTCACTCCGATAGTAGTTGATGTACATAATATCGTGGGTACCCATAGCTTTTCAGATGAACTTGAGCACCTGGAACCCTACTCAAAATAGGGTATGTCACCACCAAACAAGTAATGTGACTCTTCACGTCCCAGATGTTCCTGAATCGCTTCTACTTAACGTTCACTGGATAAAATGTTTTCAGAACATTTTCCAAGGAATATACTTGGTTTCTATAACATATACAATGTTCAGATTTGCTGTTTATACGGGCAGATCCCTCGGTTATACAATTTAGTAATTAGTAAGGATATTTCTCGAAGTCACCGCAGGTGGTTAGTAAAGTTCTGATGACAGAAATGAAAATAAACACATCGTATATGTACACCCTTAAAATACAGTTTTAACACAGAGCAGCGCTCGATAAATATTATTGATATAAGGATGAAGGGCATTGGTCTATTGTAAGTAATGTAGTGTCAGTCAGTCAGTAACAACGTAGAACTTCATACATACGTACATCAGTTTGAGTTGCCACACCACATTAGCACAGAGATGCCGTGGTCGATTCAAATCCCGTAGTGGTAGAGGTAGTAAGAGTATAAGCATTAATCGGGAAGATTAGTGTTTGGAGATGTTATTTAACGAGTATAATACAGTGAAATAAATTTGGGAAGAGAAAAGAGACAAGGAGGAACCAGATTAAAATTTGATAGAACACAAAGAGTGGATGCACCTGCGCTATTGCAAACGATTTTGAGCCATGTCATTCAAGGTCTATAACCATCGGTTGCTATCATCTCGCGGTCCCCAACCAGGTAGTCTACACCTACTAACATGACTCATTCCACTTGTCAGTGACTTCATGGACTTGTACCATGTTTTGGTCTGGCCGCCCCTAGCTTTCTTCCAACCTACTCCTATACCACTGAACATCGCACTTCGAGGCAGTCGGTCGTTGGGCATACGTAACACGTGTCCCAGCCATCTCAACTGATGAAGTTTCACAACTTCATCAATTGATTTGCCATCCTTACCTAGTACCCGTTTCCTAGCAACTGTGTTACTTACTCGATGGTCCCATGATATACGAGCAATGTTTCGAAGACACCTATGATCGAATACTAGTAACCTATGAATATCCTCTACTCTTACCGGCCATGTTTCACTGCCATAAAGTAGGACGGGACGAACTGCTGAGCAGTAAACACGTCCTTTGGTTGATAGACGGATAGCTCGCCTACGCCATAAATGACGCAAGTTGGCAAAAGCTAGTCGAGCCTTCTGTATCCGTGCTGAGATTTCGTCACATACCAGACCACAAGGGCTGATGAAACTTCCAAGATAAGTGAAGCGGTCGACACACTCAACTACTTCACTCCCTATCACTAGTTCGGGTGTACATTTACCAACGAAGAATCAGTTACCGGTATAGATAAACCACCTTGAGGAATTATTGCCGACGTTTTTAAAGATAAGATTCTAGAACTACGAAATTGGATTTCTCTTCTGTGTTACAAAGTCACGTGAACTTCATAAAGCTGGCAGTCATAATGTGATATTTGTATCTAAACAGGGTATACAAAAACCAGACGTCATATAGAAATCCGTGATTGAAACCTGAATACACCAACTTGTAACTGGTTGTATCACACATCATGTACAGCGCACATAAACAAACTCTTAAATCTATTAGTAACCAAAAATTATTATTTATAGTTCAATGTACTACAAAATAAATAGTGATATAAAGAAAATTGGTAATATACATTGAACAATAATAACTACACAAATATAGTAAGAAATAGACAAAAGTACCAAACCATTCGTATAAAAGCAATTAATATAAAAATTCTTACGCGAAAACAACAAAAACATGCACTAATAATAAACACATTAATGGGGAAAGAAAGACTTTACAGTTTCTCTTAAGACTAGACAAATACGAAAGGCGAACTGACAGTTTTGAGGCAACAAGCTCCAAGGATGTATAGTTTTAAAAGGAAGAAAGCAATTTAACATATGTACAACGCTATCTGTATATGGAAATTTAGGAATGTGAGAAAAAAAACACTATACGAAACTATATTAATCAAGTAAATGTTCAAAAATAGTCATTTAGATCAGGTTTCACTCGTGTGTTCCCTTGTGGATGACCAGCTGGTTTGACAGAACGAAGATTCCCTGAGTTAAGACGTGAGTCTTCATGTTCATCTCGTCCGTAAGGTTGCTTTTAAGAAATAAAAAGACAAAACGCGTTCACAACTGTGGTTACAGATATCGAGAACTTCGAACGAGAAAGAACAATAGACCATATTACCTACGAAAGGTTTTACTAAATAAACAAAAAAAACTTATTGATTAGTTCAATAAAAAATATGGTTGTTATGATACATCTAGTGTAATGCTGAACAATATGAAATCCAAAGTAAAGAAACAAATCTGAACTATTAAAAGTTGTTGACTGACCTTGAGCATGAGTACAGAAACATAACTAGTATAAAGTGTTGTTTTGATCTTGTTCTTACTGATATTGTGGTACTAAGTTTATCAGGTTTCGTTAGAATATTGGATCTATGAATGAACGCGTTCATATAGGTAATATTTACAAGCTAATAATGCCAAGCAAACGGATCGAAAATGTGCATTTTAATCTACGTATGACTATTGACACAAATTTGTCTTTATTTTAGCTATAATGCTTTCATCAAAAGTGAGACTCAGTGACCATTACTTCGTATATATATATATATATATATATATATATATATATATATATATATATATATATATATATATATATATATATATATATATATATATATATATATATATATATATATATATATACACGCTCAATAAGCATATACAGACGAAGGCTGATCACATTCCTACTTAAATTACAAAAGACCTCCACTAATACATGTGTATAACATGCCACGATTTTGTTTATAGACTTTATTTACTAAGGAGTGGAAGTATATTCGTTATTGTAATTTTATACTTATGAACTGTCAATAGCTGCAGCGAAAACGGAATCTATGCTCTTGTGTAGCGAAATTATGAATACATATCACAATACAAAAAACAAATAAGATTTTAAGATCAATCTTGCAAACCTTATTCGGAACAGCATTGTAACCAGTGGATTGTGCCATCCTGTAATCTGTTCCATGGATACGATTAGCAGATGGATAGTGTACTTTGTGTTCGCCACCACCAGAATGAGAGACAGAACTCTCCATACGACTTGCCTAAATTTATTTGTAGGTAAGTTTTCGTGAAAGCATGATAAATGTACTACGAACAAAAAAACGATATATCATGAGAAACAATACAAAAATAATGCAACACAGTAACCGGTTAAAGGCCTAAGTGATCGCTTGGATAGACTGATTTTTAAGAGTTAGAGATACGGTTAACGTGTCCAAACAGAAGTAGATAGAGTGGGTTACCAAATCGTAACGCGATTTTAGGGTTTTAACAACTAAGCCGTTTAGAATGTGAGTTTGTAATTTACGCTTAATGAATAAATGCTAATATGTACAAACTGATATAGTAAAATGAAGCCATGAAGTTTAAAATAAAAATCTCATATCAACAAAATTAGTTTTTTTTCACGTACACTAATCGGATAAGGAAATAAATTAAGGTAAGAACATCATACTATTAATAAAATATCCCAAAAGTTAGATTCTTAGTGTTATTATAAGTGTGGAAAATACTTAAGTCAGTACAGAAAATGAGTTTGAAATAGAAATATTTATTAACTTTCACTAAATAAACTGAAGCACTGAAATGATCAACAGACACATTGGTGATTACTACAAATAGTACTCTCTTTACAACTGTGATGAATATTTTCTGATTATCAAAACTTAATTAGTGTATTACTAGTATAAGAAGTGCAAAATGCATTCCAAGAACCTTTTTTAATCAAGACGTAGAAATAGTAAATTATCTTGTAAATCACAACTTTATTTACAGAGTTCAAAGACAAAGAATGATGAGCATAAATGATAAATTGTGTATGCGTATGTTGCGACCATACTTTTCTTGAACACCTGACTGAACTAATTACTTAATTTTAATGTTAAAAAAACAGTGAATGTAAAACCTACAATTTATTAGTTATCTATCAAAAAGAAAACTTATAGTGAGTGTGTCTAAGAAAACTGTAAACTTATTATCCACTCTTATTGAGACTAGTTCATTCCCCTTCTATGTAATTATTAATTTTATCATTACGCTGCAAACTATAAGGAACTTAGTGTTGAATATATACCCGTAGAATGCGAGTGAAAATATATAAAGAAATGTCATTAAAACTAATTGTATGTGGAAATTCGGGGTCACCTGTGACGTAAGCGGTGTGTTTGTCTGCTAGCCAAAGGACTAGCAGTTCATTCCGTCCCTTCTGTCTGAGAAACGTAACTTTTATAAAAGAAGAATGTTCGTGCGTTACTGGGATTTAATCACTGATCCGTTTGAGGCATGGTTTGAGTATGTTGGAACAACCAAGTAAGTAATGCTGAGGTTAGACGAAGGTTATTAAGCAAACATGTCAAACCAGTTGATGAGGTTGTGAATCTTTCTCAACTGAGGTTGTTGGGACAAACAAGCAACAAAATAAAACCTAGCAAAGATAAATGTTACACCAAGTTGCCGTACCAGATTAGCACAATAAAATGAAAACCAAAAAACAGATCAAAACAATGTAACAATAAAAAATCAAACCCTTAAAATACAGATATGGACATTTGTTATTTAACATGGACCGTTACCTACAATCATTTCATGTTGGCTATTGTAGGAATAGGTTGGAAGAAAGCTAAAGGAGATAGAATCGAAACGTGGCAACAGTCAATGAAGTCACTAGTAGTTAGATTGTGCCGTGGTGGTAGTTTTAGACTACCTTATCGAGATTCGTGCAATCATTGTAACCAATGATTGGAGACAAAGGGTGATATAACTTAAAATGGGCCGTACTGGTATATGTGTATCCAGTCTTTGTCTTCCCTTAGATCATGAAATTTAGAATCCACTTATAGTTTTATTCAGCGAACTCATTATTTCGTTTCGAATCATATTACCTAATCCTAGTTTTTACTACAACCATTGACACTGTTACCACTTCTATTACCCTTCTATTTGTTCTGGTAATTTCATTTCGCAGTTGTATGGTGTGGCAAGTTTAACCGATGGATACATGTAACAGGTTTTTAGTTGATTATGACTGACTGATAAGTATAAATGTTTCAAACATATTTACCATAAACTCCCCAATTACTTTAGGCAATTATGGAATTACTTTGTAAGATTACATAGTAATATACGTTACAAATTAGTGACTCATTAGGTACAGTTTTATTACACTAGATCATGGACCATACTTTTAGTATACGAGCAGGACATTTATTTACTGAATATTAAAAATGACTTGGTAAAACAAAGCACTGAGAAATGCACCACACAGAAAACAAACCATTGAGCAACAAAAGAATCAACAATAAAGTGGAGATATATTTAAGAACAAGATGAAAATAATATTATTGGGACATTAAAGGAAACGAGAGCATGATTATCTCTAGCCGCTATTCGGTATTGCCATCTTATATAAGCAAAGACAACCGAACACAGGGTCACTAAGCATTCTTAGCTCGGAGAATTGATACTGACACTACAGCGTTAGGTACACTATATATTTTTACCACATTAATGTGAAGCAGATTAGCAGGAGCTACTCTGAAATTCGCCATACTTGGACTATTCGGACACTCAATGAACTTAGAGTGTACTAGATCACAGATAGAACACAGACGAGTGATACCAGAAGATCAGAAACCTTCCAGATATTTACACTATTGGCAGCTAGTTGCGATTAGAGCTCTTTGGGTAAAGGATTGAGCTACAAAGGAAAAAAGCAAGTTGATATATCGTAAATGACTGTATCCGGCGTCGTGAATGACCAAAATTAGACTTATGAACAACAAGCACTTGTTAACCTCCTGGATAAATTCCTTTCACTTAAACATTTGACCTACGTATTGAAGTCCCCAGATATCACAAAAGGTAATCCCGTCGGTGAAGGAACTCATCCTCGGTTATATCCAGGTGACCATCTATTGGGACGTATACGGTGACAGTGAAAAGACATTTCTTTTTTGTTCTTTCAAACTCTGGCTTCATATTCTATATCAGCTGCATATTAACAATTATTGATGAGGAAATACTACGCAGCTTTTAAAAGTATAATAGATGACGCGAAATTGGGATCCTCTACACAAATATGATAAATTTATTGCAAAACATATGAGCAGTAAAAAGTGGAGGGATGATTTAGAAGTCGACTTTTAACTTCATGATTCCAAACTTGAAACATACTCACCAGATAATATAACCTGCGTTGCAGAGTGCCGATTAAACATATTAACTACTGATTCGTTTTAGCTATTCTTGAGTAACTTTAATTCAGAAAAAAGTGACAGTTGTTAACACGAATTTGAATACTCACTTCGTTCAGTAGTATAGATACGTCCTAATGAATTCAAATCCACATAAAATCAAAGCTTAAGATTTCCTGTTTTTATTATTATCCTTTTTTACCAGATAAAAACTTTTTCATGTTTGTCATATAAATTCGTTTTGATTACAATTCTAGTTGTGAATATACTTAAGTCAGAATGATAGACTTTTCAACTCTAAATGATAAGCTGATTACTACCGTCTTATTCTCTATTTGATTACATTGTAAATAAAGTGATATATTCTTTGAAAAATAATCATGGAATATGTTTAGAGAAGAAAATAATAACTTAGTTGTTACCCAAACTATTAAAAGTTAACCCCAGATCTCATGAAATCAATAAAAAATTATTACGTAATAGCAAGGATTTGTGTTATTTATTGCCGAACACAAAAATATTTTATTGGTTTAATCTTGTTACTTTAAAATACTTTTGATGAAAAAAATTGTACATTGAGTATAAATAATGAGTTCGTAAAATTTTATTATAACATTGTAGAATATTAAACTATTAAATTCACTTGGTATTGTTTTGGCTTGTATCTTCCCATTGAGACTTAAGACTGCAATTGATCAGTCTGCTAGCTACTATCCATCATTATTACACTATTAGTTTAAGCATTACTCTTATCTCGACTATCATAAATTTGAAGTAAGCTCTTCTATAAATCTTAAATGGAATTGAGTTTATGGATGTGTAAAAGAAACATCAAGAAATTACTTTATGCAATTAAGCGTTTATAGACTACTAGTTATAACCATAACTATAGTATGTGTTAATTATATGATCGCCACTTATGTTATACATGTGTTTTTTCTTAGTTATTTCTTATTCTGAATAATGGTAATATGAAAATGTAAGTAAAAATACTTTGTAAAATGAACACCAGAATTTTTAATAAATTTTCTTTTTTAGCACCCGATTATAACACAGCAAATAAAACTTTATTTATTTAATCAGACTGCACCACTACATATTTGGAAAAAATTGAGAATATTTTAGTAAATGAGCAACCACACATCCAAACAAACACGTCTACCGTTGACTAAAAAGAAACCAACAGAAAAGTATGGCTTTTTATTTTAACACTCATCCATGATCTGTCAATAATTTGATAGAATGAATTAAATTATCTAATTTCCATAAAATGTTTACCACTGGTTTTTCACTTAAAAGAGATAGCTGTTGACTACTATATATTCTACTTCATATTCCCGCTCCTGCTTAGTATAGAATTTATGAGGTTTTCTATGTTACCAGCATATCAGAACCCCTCAAAGAGTACTTAGCTTGAACAAGATTGAAATAATTTACGGTTTATGAACAGAACCTTAATAAGATGAAGTGGTAATACACGCTAGTTGTTTTGTAATTGTACGTACTGATCATCAAAAATTCTAGATGGAATGATAGAATTCCTTGAAATGACTTATACACATATTCGGATATGCTTTAAATGACTATTGATAACTAAATGTTGAGTTGTGTATTCAACTTAACGTCACAATATCTAGTGGACGTTTGGATCCCAAAATACTTTGCAGACCATTAACCACGAATAAGTTGGAGAAAATAACGAAAGGATACTTTTTCTTTGCTATGTTTGAAGAGATTACGAAATCAGCTGAAATCGGTGAACGGAACGAAGATTCAACAAGACAACGAAAAAACTATTCACTGCGCCTCAGCCCTGGTAACTAGAGAGACCAGATTCGGCCGAGAGAAAAGTATGTTTCACAAGCAATCGAAAGCACGAACGAACAGACACACAACTCAAGAGTAGATATACAGTGTAAGGATGGTCATGGGAAACGTTAAAAAATAGCGTATTAAAAGAGGGAACGAACCAATGACAATTTTGTTATCATACATAGTTATTACTTCATATTCATCAAAATAGTATACCAAAAGCTTCAAACTTAAACACTATTTAAAATTCCACTACTTTCTCAGTAAAGTGATAGAAGTCAAATTATCACGACTGACATACATACACATGACTTACACGTGCTGTTCCGTCGGGATGATGTCCACCAGGTAAGTGGGGTTGTGGTGATCGTTGACACTGATTTGGGTATGGGCGATCAAATCTCTGACGCTTAGGATCTGGTTCATTATTCCCAGGACCTGGAGGACGGTTGGAATGAGATCTATTGAAATGTTCGTTCCCATAAACATGTGATTGTGGGGCCCGATTGTGTCCATGATACGGATGATTCATCTGTGTACTCTGGGAGCCACCTGCATGACTTCGAGCATGGTGATTTGGATGTTGAGATGGGACTTGAGCTGCACTAGGATTTGTCGAACCGTAAGGTCTTTTCTCTGTCTACGTTAAAAAGTGCAAAGTAAAATAGGCAGCCATTAAAAATCACTATAAGTAACAATTCACTGAAATATCTAACAATCTCTCAATGATCTTACGCATTGGATTTTACTTGTTACTAAAATGGTTAACTGGAACTTTTGGCGCAGTTTCAACTGGAATAAAGTTATTTTTGTACTTTTCTGTTTAAGAAACAGAGAAGTACTTTAATATATTCTAGGAAAATACACAATTTCATTGATCTATAAATAAGTGGTTATGAGTCAACTAAGGCACCCTGGAACTATTTTTAGAGAAATTTGAGATTTGATAAAATGGTTCAATACTGATCCCGGTAGTACTTTTGGATATTCATTTTATCTTGTTCTAAAATACCTTCCAATAAAATATGAATATAATGATTTGTCGTGCTATTTGGTCTATACTGATTAGTATCTTTTCATATATCTTTTTTATCGTTTACTTTATTTTTCTGGACAGGTTCCAAGTACGAGTACCGGGAAAGATTTATCCTTGAGCGAGGTTACCACTTACTTGAAAAGTGAACATCATAATGACTTTTACAGTGTTTATTTTTTCACTTTTATTTTTATGAGCACATAAAGATTGGTGCTCGGAGACACCATAACATACATGGGCTACACAATATTAATGAGGTTGTGAAGAGATAGAAAGTGTGATAGAAAAAGAGCACAAGTGAATAGTTAGTGTATTGGAGTGAAATAATAATGGGAGTAATTTAGTCGTAGGAAATACCTAGGCAGACTGATTAAGTGTGAATTGCATGGCTTGGATATCGTCGCACAGTGAGAATATCATCCGCATACTCCGAAAAAAATTTATTCAGGCAACAGACCCACACCACGATTACCCAAATCCATCAGAGCTGTTTCTAGAAAGTCACAGATGGCGAAACTGGAGAAAAATGGTGAGATTGAGCAACCTAACCTCACGGCTTGAATGAAACAATGGAAGAGTTTGCATATAGAGCTCTCAAGATGTTGATAAACTCCTCGAACACACCCTTCTTCAGATGATATCAGAGAACAGTCCTATTCAACGAATCGAAGGCGCCCCTGAATTCAAGAAACACTACGATTGTTGGTCTGATATAAGTACGACAGTATTCCAACATTCGGTGAAGGGTGAAGATATGATAAAAGCACTCTCGACTAGGACGATAATCAATCTGCTACTCCTGAGTCAATCGTTCCTGGATCTTGAACAACATACGAACTATGACGGAAACCAATAGTTTGGACGCAATTGCTTTACACCCTTTTTGTGTTTGTACTGTCCTGTCTAATCTAATAAGGCACAAGGGATCGTCAACAAGTATGCAGTCGAGGAGTGTATGTCCTGCTCTCGAATCCAACGATCTACCTACACTTGGAGAACTACGAGTCACTAACAACTCTAAAGATGCACTGTACCTATTTCGTACACTGGGTGTATGAAGATAAGTGGATAATCACACTGAGATCTTGTACACCAGTTACAGATATACCACAATAAAATGAACCTATTATCCTATTTGTCACAGTCAAAACAGAAAGGTTAAACACATATCATCGAGCGGTTTAGTGAAATTAAGGATAGCGATTAGTAAGCGTGAATCATTAGCCCGATTGGACACGCGGTGAAAAAGCCTAGTTCGAGGTGAATTAATAGTATAAATAGAAATATAATAAAAAGACCTTCGATGGCGAACAAGATTAGCATGAGAACTGTAAGGAGTGTACTTTGCCGGCTGCCCAAACAGCCAAGGACACATCTTTCTGACGGATTGAGAAAAATAAACCAAGTTAGTAAATAAAGCACTTGTTAACCTGAGAAAGTGATCACAAAACTTGAGGTCGGTTACATATGATCATTTTATGACTTGTTTTTACTTCATCCCAGATTGACAACGTTAATTTTGTTATGCCCTGATAAAAATAAGGAATAGTAACTTTTGGGATCCATTTATGGACCAATAATATGCGTATATTTTTATCGTGTAATTGTTATGGAACTAAACTGTCTATATTCATGTCGCTCTTATTATAAGTTTTGATTTGACCCGCAGACTACTACTACACGATTTACCATTCGTGAGTTATGGCCCGTCTGTTGATTACTATCTCCCTCATTCACAGTCACATTTGGCTTTTTCTTGTACAGATGTTGTTTCATATTTTATGGCACGTTGTGGTCTGTCTGGTTGGTATATAAACGCAGTATGCTTGAAATGAATGATTCATATTTCAGGGGCTGAGATTGGTGTTCTGGACTTAACTGGCTCGACTAGGCGGAAAGCAGGATCAATAAGGACTCTAGACTGCTCGTACGGGTTTTATGCGTCACTAGTCGGATCGATAATTCACTGCTCTCTAATTGCCGGTATCGTTATTTGTACAATAAACAGGGCACACAAGTCACAAGTTATAACAAATTTCGACATCACGACCCCGTGGAAAAGGGTCAAGTACCTTCTTAATCTCCTCCACTTGTAGTAAGGTGAGATTGGTGGAAATGCTAATAATCAGCGGGAAACACCACTTATTACCCCCACCCTAAAGTTTCATTCTAGGACCAGGAAATTAATGTTTTTCTGTCATAAAATTCCTTAGCAGGTATATAAATTATGGTCTGACACATCTACCAGGTAAAGCTCTATGTACTCGATTTCAAGCTGGTTTGTATGAACAAGAGCGATACTAACCGGATGAATAAAGCGAAGCAAATAAAGTGAGGTTTAAACATGTTAACTACTGGTTGAAAACGTCAAAGCCTAAATCATCAGTTGGGATGGTAGGAACTTGAAAAACAGATAGTCATTAGGACAGGCAAGCTGGAATACCTCTTTAAGATACAATCTAATAAAGGGGTGATTTTGAATAAATGCATCAAACCAGTAACCACACTGTAGGGATGCTGTTTTAACATTAAACTCAATTCTACAATACCACGATTTCAAGACTGTCTGACGATCTTTCTTTGTAGAAGTAGCATTACCAAGGCTATTTCTTCGAAGTGTCATGAAATCTTTCCTTTCTGAGCTGAGGATGTGCAGGAACTGCGTTCGATTATCACCGTCCCTGAATGGTTGCATACAACAATGTGAAAATAATGCCGTTTACCAGTATTCATATCCGTTAATAATAACTCGGTAGGCATAATGATTTAGAATACTAGATGTCTTGTGTATGTTTTACAAAGGTTAACCTAGTGAATTCCATATTGAGTTTATTTTACTCAACCTAGGTAGGAAAAGTGGAGCATGTCGGCTCTTAACAACACGTGGTGGTATAAAAGATAGATGTATAGAGCTTATTTCCTTCGGTTAGCCAAGAACTTCTGAGCGGAATACTAACGACCATGCAACTGATTGGCTTGAAACGTGATTGGACATGGGCTGGGAAAAGTGACCCTGTTGAAGCCTTTATAATATTCTAAAAGTAAAATGAACCTCTTATCGAAAAAAACCGTTTTAGCTGTTTTCTTTAAGTGAATTAACTTTTTGTCAAATATTATTATGGATCATATTAAAGATGAAATCAACATTTTTTCCCTTACGGTTACACAGTACTGACTTTATCTATGTACTACATTCATTTGAAGTAGTTGTAACAGAAATTCTACTTTATAAATAAAGTCGTGAATAAGAATTCGCCATATGATTCCCCAACGGAACCTCTTAGCTTTAACGTTTTTCCCCCGAAATGCAGCCGAGGGTGGGGAGAGATCTCCCTCTTGAAATGCTCTCACATGGCCACTGCCAGGATATTTCTGCCTATTGCCTTTTCGCAAATAGGGTGTTGTTTACGAAATTGAGAGGATGAAAAGCGAATGTCCGATGCTTCAACCGGGCGGTTAGAAAGCCTTGATTCCAAAAAAATCATGTACATGGGCTCCAGGATCCTGAAGGAACAAATTGAGTACGAACTTATTGTTGGTCACTGGCTGCCATGTGACCGCATCTTCTGACGTTGTTCCACTGCCTTGTGGACCAGACCTTTAGATCGAATGCTCCGGGCATGGCCCCTTAAGAAAACCATTTGCTTCGGTCTGAACACCCGGTCAGTGTCACATCCCATACACAAATGAAGTGACTTGTATGGCCCATATGTATTCGGTGCCCCATTATGTCAATATTTATACGTTCAAATAAATAAATAAACGCTTTTCGACAGATATATTGGCTCTGTTCAAGTTCCAAGAAACGTTGGTACCAGAACATTTTATCGTGTAAAAATATTATATCAAAACTATTGTCAGAAGCATCAAGCGGATTTATAACCAGCTATACCATCTCTAGTCATAAAATGATATTGATATCTGTTTGGTAATAAACGCGACAATGGAGATAGTATTCACTAAAACTCAGCTTTTATGGCAGTGATATCCACCAATATTATCTGTACTCACAAACGGGTTTCCAGTTGGAAAATGGTCACCCTAATAACTTATCTTTTCGACGATAGATACGCTTGAGTTGCAACAAACAAATACCACTGGTCACCCAATCTGAATGCAATACTATGATACCATTTTTCGTAAACAGGAGCTTCAAAAATGACTGAATAAATTAGATTACTCATTGAGACATCTGTAAAAGCATTATTTAGTACTCACTTTCCAAGAATCAGCTTTCTGCTGAGAATCAGGAACTGGTCTCCTCTGAGGCTCTTGAGTTCGAGGAGGATTATTGACAGGATCGTCCCTTCGTTCTCTTTGTAACTTTCGGGACTAGATACCATATTTCTGAAGTAAAATGACTTACTCGAAGCGAACAGCGCAGTTGCTCTCTGATTTTTAAATCGCATTCTTGGAAAGTAAGGGTGAATTCGTCTGTTATTTTAGAGATTTCCTCGAAAGTCAGCATCGGAGAAAAAATATGGAACCATTCCCCGTTTGACGACTGGATGTCTGTTCCATTCCACTTCGCCGCAATGTAAAGACTAGCAGCAGCAATTGCTTCTGCAGAATGTCGTAATACTAAAGTAGTGAGATGCAGTATATTAGTACAGATATAGTAGCTCGTATGAGCTATTTCCTTCGGGAACTTATTTGCGCGAATCGCCTTAATGAGTAGCACATGTGGTTGTTTGACTTCAAGAGTGTGAAACCCAATGACCATAAGAATAGTAGCCTCTAAAGCATGAACATTCTGAACGAGTCTCTTGAATGCATCTGACCCCTCATCAGGTGCCGGTCTCTTTAAAATATCATACGCAGCCTTGATCAAGAAGGACAGTTTCCTAGAAAATTCCTCTGTTTTGCATGCACAATAAAAGGCAGCTATTGCGACTAAAATCGGTTTGATTGTTTCTGGAGAGAAAACTTCGTAGAAGTAGTGCATGTAATATATGCCTGCATTTATGACCACCTGTGTTCTGTATGGAGCAGACAGGGATACACACTACTTCAGTAAAAACTTACGTTTGCAATCTTGACCCAATTTCTTGAATTAAACACGCACACTGCTGACGACGTGCCAAATGGAGACTACGTTCTACCTTGCATTGTTCCATTTCAGACGTTCGCGCCAAAACGAAGGTGGCCTTCAAATGGTTCAAATGGTTCTGAACGGAATAGAAGAAGCTTTCGCTTGATGGGCTTCCGTATCTAGTAGCAGTAGATCACATATACCCACAAACAAGAACCTAGATATACTAATGATTAACGCGGAAAAAGAAAAAAAGTTGGTAAATCAGTAAGGTACTGTCCTTAGTCCTTAAGAATTTGTCAAGTTTTCTGTTGAACAACTAATGGGAAGTCGCTTGGACTAGCTCATCTAGTAGCGAGTTCAAACATTAGGCTTCTCTTAAGGAGAAGACGTTGCATCTACAGTCCGTTCTGCTATGTTATGTCTCTAGTTCCTTGGTGTTACCTGTAAGGCGTGTATTGGGACTAAGCTTGAGTGGGGGTTTAAGATGATATTCAGAAGTGTTAAATATCCCGTAAGTCATTAGGAAGTCACCTCTAAGACGTTTGTACCCTAATGAGCACAGTTTCAATGATTGTAGGTACTTTTCATAAGGCTTGAATCTGAGTCCCCAAACTGATTTCGTGACTCGTCATTGCGTGTGTTCAAGAGTGTCCTCATCCTTTTGGAGTGAGGGAGTAAATACTATGTTTCTGTACTGTAAATTAAATCGAATAAAACTATTAAAGAATAATTGTAAAGTTTTTCCGTCTAACTGGACGAAAATCGCTTCAACGTTACCGCTGCACGGTTTGCTCGGAAGGCACTTTGTCGCAGTTAGCGTAAGACTTAAGATCGTAGGGTACCAACACTTCTAAATCATTTTCAAGTAGGAATACCTCTAGAGGGGAGTTATCTAAGTTGTAGTTGTAGTCCGCAACATGTCTCAGATGGAAAACTTTACACTATGAAGTGTTAAAGTTAGGCTCGTTGTCATCTGCCCAGGCTTGAAGTCGAGTCAGATCCTCATGAAGTGCTAGTCCACCCTCATGGTTGAACAGTCCTCTTGAAAAGTTTCACATCATCAGTGGAGAGTGATACGTCAGATGGTACCTGTTGTGTAAGATGGTTTATATAACTTAAGAACAGAAGACGTCTTAGTACTGAGCCCTGGAGGCCCCACTACGACATTACATAGCCAGAGAAAAATTGAAATTAACCCTAGCCCTAGAATGTCAATTTTTTAGATAAGACATGAGCCAATCAATTGAAGGTGATTTGACACTTAATCGTTTTAGCTTATTGATAAGACATATTTGGTTGATCCTATAAAAAGCTTTTGAGAAGTCAAAGTAAATGACAACAACGTCCCTCTTGCCGTCAAGAATGGTTGTCCGTCTGTCCACTGCGGTCAGCAGGTCGGTTTTAGAAGAATGACTTCCTGAAAATACGTTGTTGAGGTGAGAAGAAGTTAGAAAATAATGATTAGTCGTGCATACCGACGCATATCAGAACTCCATAATTTTTGAAGATTTAGAGCGAAACGTCACCAGTTAGTAACTTGAAGGTTCGCTGCGTCGACCTCGTTTGAAAATTGGTGTGATGTGGGCCAGTACCAAATTTCCGGCAGTTTTCCTCGGCTTAGCGAATGTTAGAACTGCACGCTAAGCAGCGTTGCCAAGGCAAAAACTGCTTCCCTCAGTGTATCAAAATGGACCATATCCGCAACAGAAGAGGTTTCTTTTTTCAGTTACTGCAGTTTCCGGCACATCGTGTCAGCGCACGAATTCACTTCTGAAAGTCCCGTGGAGTTGCGTGTGAAGTTCTCATCAATTTAGTTAGTATAGGTCGGTCGCAATTTCCGAGAGTATTTTTCTGCCAGAAGGTCGACAACGTCACCGTCGTTGTTAGTCGAACCGTTAGGATCTAGCAGTTGGGAAACTCCAGTTTTGGCTTGACAAAGAGTAGCTGCGTAACGGAATAAGTTTTTCGAATTGAGGACAAATGTATCCATAAGCTTTATTTGGTATTGAATACTGTTTCCCCTTATTACCTATGTGAATGCATTCCTTAATTTTGTGAATTGCCTGAATGCGCTGCTTTTACCAGTTCGTTTATATTCTGCTCAGTATTACCTCATGTGGATTGACAAACAAAGAGTACGGGTTTTGATGACTGCATGTTGTTTGTATATTTCGAAGACGGTCAGCATAACAAATTGCTTTACAACACATTAAGAAATCTCAATGAGTTTCAGCATCAAGTTGAGAGTGAAATCGCCAATCCACTGAATAACGATGACTGATTGCTATGACAGCGTGATCGCTTTTCCCCGGAGGAGCTAGGATTGAAATGTCAATTAGGAATTCCTCACTTGAGCGAGACGGCGTTTGACTACTTCTCCAATGAGTTGTGAACTTGACATTTTCAAATAATCCCCGAGCTTCAATGAGGTTGACGAATCGAGCTTCACTAGTTCTCACCTCCGATTAACGTATGTTCAGCGAAATGGACTTTAGGAAGGTTGAAATCTACTAGAATCAGTGTGGTGTGAGCTACTTATATTGATATAAGTAGTATATAACGTGCGTTAAAAGAACGTGATATCTGGCAGCAAAAGATGGCGAAGACCAAGAAAGTTGGAGCGAGAACATAATGGAATTTGTAAGAAAACCTATGAACAATGGAATGGGAGACAATGGATTGGTGTTTGCAACAGGAACAATCCAGTTTGGTTTAATGCGTGAATATTTTGCAAATTGACGATTTAATATATGGTATTCAGATATTGTTGAAATAGACTGTACTTATTGTGCTAAATGCATCCGTTTGTCCCCCACCTGTGTTCTCGTTCACTACATCAGGATATGTGTGAATCGGAAACCAGTAGAGCGGGATAATCCTTCTGGCGTACGATTGTCTTACTCCATGTTAGCGGTGGGCTTCCTCTAGATAACTCCAACTAGACACATTGAGGTGGTTTACGGTCTTACAGAACACCTACGGATTCATCAAGATTGATTAACTCTTGGTTGTACACTTGATGTACTTACAAGCAAGATCGTAGGTACAAGGCTATACCGCCCTCATTCCTGTTTTTTTGCTGCCGTTGTGAAACAAAGACATGCCGCGCATTGCTAGCTCTTGATCCGTAAATTTGGAAGATATCCATGTTTCAGATATTCCTATCAGATGAGTGTTATGAGCACTACTGAGTTCATGCAGCTCATACATTTTATTCGACAAACTCGCGGCGTTCATGTATAAAACGTTAATGTTTTCAATTTAAAGCATGTAAGATTCCCCATCCTGTCCATCTGTATGAGTCTTATGTGAATGAACAAGTAACCTACCTAGACAAGATTTTTCAAGTTAGTAGCTTCTGTTCTTTACTCGTTTTATTCTTGATGATCTAAAATTGGAATAGTAACCTTCAACTTGTTTTTTGCATGATCCTGGCATAATGTGACCTATCGAGATGCGTATAGACTGCAGTCGGCAACTGGCGTCTGTTGGTACAAAATGCAGTCGTTCCATGGAAGGATGGAAAAGTTATCTTCATTAGCCGGGGTCAAGAACCCCAGTCCAGTCATTATGTTTTTAAGCTTGAGGATGCTGGATCAAGTAGTCATAGGTGATTTTGATGCCTGATATCTTTTCCCAAAGAGTGCTATGTGACCAACAAATGGTCTATTTTGTGAAGTTCGAGCTTCCTGTTTAAGTCTTCCCAGAGCATCCTGTAATTTTTTAATTGAACACTTAGAGGAAGAGCAAAGTTTTCTTTGTGATTTATTACTATAGGAGAACCATCGCGAGCTGTGATTGTTTTCACAGGTTTTCGGGTACGATCAGTTTGTGGACTTTTCGCTTGTTAATTGAAGTGAGTTTCAGATCCCTGTGCTCCTTGTTGACTAACTGGACAGTCTAGATGTATACTGTACGGCCAAATCACCAGTTTATTACATTACAATACCTGGGTTGTTCTACTTCATAGGCAGTAACAACTATTCCTTTCTAAACTTGTTGGCAGTGGCCTAATAGCCTACAAAGTTTTAAGGGACTATCATTGCATTCAGAAACTCACATTTATTGATGGAGTCTAGAACCGACGATATTATGGTGGTGCTGAGCTTCAGTATGTCATCATTGGTGACAATACATGTTCCGATGATACTAGCGTCGTCAAGTTCTCTTTTTACTGGTTCTCTTAGGCGTTGTCCTGTTTTGAGAGTTGATCACTAAGCCACAAATGATAAAATGAGCTGTACTCTTCTGTCAAGTCTTAAACATTAGTAATCTTTTCCCAGTTATTTTCTAGGAAAGCAGAACTGTGGATATTAGGGTTATATTAGTGTAAAATGACGATAAAACTCATGTCGAGCGCGAACTATCACAATATGAAAACACCGAATGTTGAGTGGTTGGAAAAAATGGTAGGGGTCAAGAACGACACAAGGACAGTTGATGGGATCAACTAAACGCTCATAATTTCTATTAAATGAATTTAAGGCACAATGACTTTATTCAAAAAGATGACAACCACTAGTTGTTAAAAAAACTATACGAATAACTTCGCCATGTTACCGGAATAAATGAGGAAAAAACGACGAATACAAAATTGTTCCGTAACAAAAGTTTTTCAGTAATATCCATGACAAGTTACTGCCGATAAACAGTAATAAACAATTTTCAGCTCTCAAATATTGTAGAAGCGTTCATCAAAAATCAGGTTACTGTTAAAAAAAGTTAGTTTTTAGCCTAACGTACTCTTGTACAATGGAGGCCAAAATTATGTCCACGGCCACCGCACAAAAAGATTGATGCACATGAGATACTTGTGAATGTTTTACTTCGCAATACATATTTTAGATATACATCGCATCTGATATAACTTAAGGATAATTCAACTGATTAAGATATTAGTAACGAGAGGAAAGTGCGGTTTTGAAAATCCATGACCGTCGGTATCGTTTTCTTTGCATTTCTCAGCGTTTTTCAATCTCAGTGCAGTCGTTGACTCCCAAAATTGTCCCACATGACGTTAACAAGTTTTATGTACGTGTAGTGGCATTGGACCATAACCACACTATCCTCAAAGCTGAATACGAGATTACTCGGAAAATAGATATTC